CCGATGCAAATAAGCCCCCTTGCCCGCAGACCCCCACAACCACCGGGTCAGGGTTGTGTGGAAGAGTCCCTTGTCCCCATTGGCATGGGGACACCCTCCCAATGCCAAGGGCACGTGGCCTGGTGAAGCACTCGATCGCCCCCCCTGCCGGGCCAGTGCTCGGATCAAGGGTCTGGTAGGACTGTTAGGAAGGAACCCCACGCACTTTTTTTGTGTTTTAAGGGTCTGGTATGACTTGGGGGGGAACATCACATCTCCCGGCGCAGAGATGGGGGGGCCCGCCGTATACCGATCCGATGGTAAACGGCGGACGGACACCAACGGGCCCCCCCATCTGTACCCCAGGGCTGCGTTTGAATAGATACTGGTTCAAAAATCAAAAGATCTCGCTGCACTCCTTACCGAAAAGAAAAGACCCGTATGGCCGAGTGGGTGCTTGTAGTGACCACGCATGGCACCGTGAGAATGCAGTGGTTTTGTATTTGTCTTTCACATCAGAACAGCGCCTGCGATCAGATATGGCCAGCGGGGAGAACTACAGCCGACGGGGATGTGCGCATGTGCGGAATCAGGAATGCATATGACGGCTGGAACGCAAGCCGGAACTTCCCTGCGTTCCACACGAGACAGATACGTGTGGACGAGGGGGGCGGCGCTGAAAGCCTACTTAGCGTCCTAATACCATGGCAACCGCCCGTACCTGTCAAAACTCCCGGCCGAACGGCTCACTTGTATTTGCGCGCCGTTATTCAGCTATAATCACCCACAGGCTATGTACATTTGAATTCCCCATGTCGTGAATGGGCTCTGTGCTAGCGTTCTTCTCAAATGGGAGGGGTCTGTTTTAAACCTCACATTTTGGATGTCCATTTAAGGTGCACATTGTTCCATTGCTGTGTTATTCTGAGCCTGATGAAGGGGACCCTTTGAGGCGCCGAAAGCGCTTGCATTTATGGCAATGTACCAATAAATGGACTATTTCCCCCCAAGTTAAAACACAGAAAAAGTGAAAAAAAAGAGTAAATATTTATAAGGGGGCACCCAGCCGAGGTGTCATATGAAAGCATTATCACACCTCGGCTCACAGACCTGAATAGCATTCGGAAACTCACGAATAGCACTCTGGAGTTCCTGATTGCTATGTAGCATTTGACAGCTGAGAATGTCAATGGGCGGAGCGAGCTGTGAT